TGAAAGTAAGGAGGTGATGGAGGGCCTTTGAAACAGGATGTTCAATGAAAAAAGAGGGCTAACAACCTCCACCCAAAAGTTTAGTTTGAATGACTGCCACCACAAAGGCTGTCATGCATCGGGACTGAGGTCATAATAAAGAGGTTTATTTAAATCTGGAAGCATTGCTATTTTCCCCAACCTAAGATGTTGGTTGCCATCATATAAATCCTCCTTTCTAATAAAACAAACGACATTTCAGAACTAAATAGCGCTATACACATGAATAGTAAGAACTTAACTGGTTTATGTGCAGAGTAATGAAAGCGAGTTTTTCCAGAAAAGTGAATTTGGAATTGTGTCTCCTGTCTGACTGTGCTCTTTTATCATCCTCTAGTGCACCCACAAATGAATTATCAGATACGAACCTGGAGGCGCGTATCAATGAAAGGTGAGTTATGCACACATGTGTCTTTATTTATCTAATTATAACTGGACATAGAAGTATTTACACACACACAGGCACATAAACAAATATATCCATCCATCCATCCATGCGTCCATCCATACACACTTCTCTCAACACACATCCACTAACAACCCATGCACACAATGGAAACACACAACAAGGAGACAGACGGACGGACACTTGTGGAGTTTATTCTGAGAAGCCTGCATGGCCATAGAGAGTGGTTTTTCACAGGGTTTGGAATTCTTCTCGTCATAGGTTTTGCAGGTAGCATTGCATCCTTTTCTAATGGAGACATATAGAAAGCAGGTCACAGGAGAGCTGCTGCTTCCTGTTAGTGTATTTGTCACCCTTAGTTCCTAGTAAGCAGCTTCTTAAAGGACTCAGATTTCCTGAGTGTTGAGAGCCTGTGAGATTGACAGAAGGGAGGAGAAAATCCTATTTGTAACATGGAGGAGATGGCAGGTGACAAGGAGCAGTGAAGCCCTGGGCAGAAAAGAATGGAGCGAATGGAACATGGACTTGTCCCTCACACTCCAGAGCTCTGTCAGCACATGAGTTTGGTGCTAAAACACAAACAGAAGCACAGCACCTCATTGGATGCAGCCCTTCCTGAGGCCCACAGCTACTTGCCTGTGTCTCCTGGACGGGAAAGACTAGCATGATGGGTGAAAGGAAAGAGGTGATGGAGAGATCCAGGAAGTGGGCCATAGATGGGATTAGAGGGAGGAATGCCTACACAGTGGAGTTGAATTTAAAATAAATTCACCCACAGCAGGCTGTTGTGCATTGGCCAGCTCCAGTGGTGGAGAGTTTTGGTGAACTCTTGAGTCAGTGAGTCTTATATAGGTGTAAAGTATGTGCTGCAGTCGTATAAAGTATGATGTGTAGGGTAAATGTCATGGCAGATTCCAAAGAACGAAATACACACATGACTTTTGTAAGGGTAAGGCAGTCTACAGGTTGAAAAGTAGTAGGTAGTTCGGGCGCGGTGGCTCGCCTTGTAATTCCAGCACTTTGGGAGGCCAGCGCGAGTGGATAATGAGATCAGGATTTCAAGATCAGCCTGGCCAAGGTGGTGAAACCCCATCTCTATTAAAAATACAAAATTAGCTGGGTATGGTGGCTGCACCAGTAGTCCCTGCTACTCGGGAGGCTGAGGCAGGATAATTGCTTGAGCCTGAGAGGCAGAGGTTGCAGTGAGCCGAGATCATGGCACTGTGCTCCGGCTTGGGTGACAGAGCGAGACTCTGTCTCAAAAAACAAACAACAGCAGCAGCAACAAAACAAAAAACAAAAAGAAAAAACAAAAGCAATTTTAACTATTTTGAACTGAAAATGTTAAGTTTAGGAAGTTACATGTTGTCTTAGTATGTACATTTTAAGTTTTTTGGCACTGCCCAGTGTGTGAATTGAGAGTATCTTCTAGTAGGCTGGCCAGTGCAACATGTGATATAAAGGAATACAGTTATACATGTATCTATGTCTGTACAAACACATACATGTGTTCATACACACAAGAGAGATTGAGTTGGGCTGTTGACTGTCACAAGCATCCATGGGAACAAGGAGTTCCCTGGAAACTCTTTCTAGAGTCCTCTCAGAATGAGCTTTGTATGGAATATTCTTTTGTGTTTTGGATGGAGGTAGGAAAACGGGGAGGAACTCATAGAGGGAGGCTCTTTATGTTAGTGTTTGTCACATTTCCTTTCTGTGAGAATGAAACTGTACTAGTAGCGTGGACCAATGGAGAAGTGAATCCTGCTTGGAGCAAGAAGGAGATAGGAGTGGACAAAGATCAGAGAAATGCCAGCCAAAGAAAAGAACAGAGCTAATAACCCTGGAATTATTTCACACCCTTCAGAACTCTGCCTTTATGTGAGGCTGACTGCCTTGGCCCATACCCACCCTCAATGGGATGGAGCCCTTGCTTGAGGCCTGCGGCTACTTGGCCACAACTCTTGGTCTGGAAAGACAACTAGGATGGGTGGAAAGTGAGGAGGTGATTGGAGGTGATAGAGAATGAGGAACTCAGATGCGATTATAAGAAGGGGGACTTAGAAACTAAATTTGAACTGAAATTAAATGCTCTCCAGAAATGCTGTTACACATTGAGGTGTAGATACCGTTACTTAATCTGGATGCATCACTGTGTTCACAGCCTAAGATACTCAGTGTTGGCATATAAAACCTCATTTCTAATAAACGGCAAATGCCATCCCAGGTCAATTTAGTGATGTACATACCTGTGAATAATTACAGTGTAACTGGGGAATAGCGCAAAGACTAACTGTAGCTATTTGTTGCAAAACATTAGGATTATGCATTGTGTCTGACTCTGACCATATTTGTCCTCTACAGTCCCGATCCGAACGCCCTGGTGGGAGTCATCATTGAAAGAAGCCCCAGTGACAGGTGAGTTATAAAAGATGTACACATGGCCAGGTGCAATGGTTCGCACCTGTAATCTGAGCACTTTAGGGGGCCGAGGCAGGCAGATACAGTGAGGTGAGGAGTTCAAGACCAGGCTGGCAAACATAGTGAAACCCTGTCTCTACTAAAATTACAACAGCTAGCCAGCTGTGTTGACAGGTGCCTCTAATCCCAGCTGCTCGGGAGTCTGAGGCAGGAGAATTGCTTGACCATGGGGAGGTGGAGGTTGCAGTGAGCCAAGACCATGCCACTGTGTTCCACTCTGGGCAGCAGGAGAAAAACTTTGTCGCCAAAAAAAAAAAAAAAGAAAAAAATGATGTACACACACACAGGCACAAAACAGTGACAGAGTGAGAGACTGAGATTGGTGTGATTCACTCTCAGAAGTGTTCACAGTAATAGAGAGTGTCTTTGACACAGTTTCTTGATCATCTCACTGTATCATGTTTAGATAACTTCCACATTTTTACAGTTGTTTAGAGAAAAAGAAACAGACTGTGGAGAGAGGCTTCTGTCTGTTACTGTCTTTTCACCATTTGTTAGTAGCAGTGAAATGCCTTGGACACTCTGATTTTCTGTGTGTGAGACATAGCAGAGTGGGCCGAGGGAAGAGAGAATCCTGTTTGGAGCGAGGAGGAGGTAGGAGTGCACGGGGAACGGTGAAGCCCTCAGCAGGAAGCAACAGAGCTAAGAGCCTTGGAGGTGTTCTCCACCCTCCAGAGCTCTGCCGCCACGGAGGCTGGAGCTCCAAACCTCAAATCACTGTCCCACTGGATTGTGCTTCTGTGTCAGTCCTCTAGTTACCTGACCCTTTTTGTGGGGCAGGAGAAACCACCATGCTGGGTGAAGGTAAGGAGGTATTGGAGGGCCTTTGAAGCAGAACATTGAATGGAATAAGAGGGCTGACTACCTGCAAACAGGAGTTGAGTTTGAAATAGCTGCCACCACAAAATCTGTCACACATTGGAACTGAGGTCTTAATAAAGAGGTGTACTTAAACCGAGAAGCATTACTATTTTCCCCAGCTTATTGTTTTGGTTGTTGTCATATAAATCCTCATTTGTAATAAAGAAAAAAGACATTCCATATTCCAACAGTGCTATACAAATGAATAGTCAGAAATTAATTGGTTTCTGTCTAGAGTAATGATAGGTAATTTTTCCAAAATACAAGTTCAGAATTATGTCTCCTATCTGACTGTATTCTTTTATCACCTGCTAGTACACAGACAAATGAATTTAAAGGAGCAACCAAGGAGACACTTACGATTGAAACGTGAGTAATAAATAGTTAAATAGAGACTCCCATCAGCATAAGTGTGCACAGAACTAAACACACACACAGGCACATGAGCAAAAATCCATCCATCCATCCATCCATCCATCCATCCACCCCCCCACACTTCTCTTCAACATGCGTACACAAATTAATCCATGCACATGATGGAAACCTAGAACAAAGAGAAAGGAAACAGACGGACATTTGTGGAATTTACTCTCAGGAGCCTGCATGGCCATATAGATTTTTTTTTTTTTTAGGAGAGTTTCCAATTCTTCTCATTGTAGCATTTGTTAGTAACTTTGCATCCTTCTTTGGTGGAGTTGTATAAAGAGGAGCAGGTCACAGGAGAGTTGCTTCCTCCTGTTAGTGTATTTGTCACCCTTAGTTCCTAGTAAGCAGTTTTTTTATGGGACTCAGATTTCCTGACAGAAATTAATTGGTTTCTGTCTAGAGTAATAAAAGCTAATTTTTCCAAAAAAGTGAATTTAGAATCATGTCTCCTAGCTGACTGTATTCTTTAATCGTCCTCTAGCCCACACAGCCGTGAATGTAAAGGAGCAGGCCTGTTGTCACCTGTCAGTAAAAGGTGAGTTATCAATCCATAAAGACACACGTATGCGTAAGTGTGCTTAGAGCTATACACACACACAAGCACAGACACAAACAGATCCATCTATCTCCATCCATACACACTTCTGTCAACACATTTACACAAACAAACCCACGCACCCAATGGAAACAGAAAACACAGAGACAGACGGACATTTGTGGAATTTACTCTCAAGAGCCTGCATGGCCACACAGTGTTTTTAACAGGGTTTCCAGTTCTTCTCATTGTAGCATTTGTAGGTAACTTTGCATCCTTTTTTGATGGAGGTGTATAAGGAAGTCAGTTCATAGGAGAACTGCTTCTTCCTGTTAGTGTATTTGTCACCCTGAATTTCTGGTAGGCAATTTTTTAAGGGATTCAGGTTTCCTGAGTTTGAGACTCTACCATAGTGTGCCAAGAAAGGAGAGAATCCTATTTGCAACGTGGAGGAGATAGCGGCCAATAAGGAGTAGTGAAGCCCTGGGAAAAAAAGAATGGAGCTAATGGAATGTGGACTTGTCCCACGCCCTCGAGAGCTCTGTCCACATGTGAGGTTGGTGCCCAGACCCAACCCAAACCCACCACCTCGTTGGATGCCACTTTCCTTAGGTGCACAGGTACTTCACTATGTCTCATGGGCAGGAAAGACTAGCACGGTCAATGAAAGGAAGGAGGTGATGGAGAGTTTTCCCAGTCATGTGAAAACCTCTCCTAGAAATAAATCATATAGGTGTAAGTAATATGGAGAACCTGATTCAAGTTAATGGTAGTGTAATGCTCAAGAAAATTTGGAAAATGAAGAGATTTTACAGAAGGAATAAAAGGATTGTGTTTAATCAGTGGCTGATTAAGGAAACATCTGGGTGAGAATTCTGTAGTTGCTCATTAAGCAATAGTATGTGAGTTTTGTATGTAGTATTGATTTTTAAGCCAATAAATAAATCTTTAAAAGATTTATTAGACGTCCTTATTTTATAGGACATTGGAGGCACGGGCAAATTAAAGTGCATTTCTATTATTATTATTTTTTGAGACGAAGTCTCACTGCTGCCCAAGCTGGAGCACAGTGTCACGATCTCAGTTCATTGCAGCCTCCAATTCCCAGGTTCAAGCGATCCTCCTACCTCAGCTCCTGAGTAGCTGGGACTGCAGTCACGTGCCACCATGCCCGACTAATTTTTTGTATTTTTCGTAGGGGCAGGGTTTCACTATATTGGCCCGGCTGGTCTTGAACTCCTGACCTCGTGATCCGCCCGCCTCAGCCTCCCAAAGTGCTGGGATTACAGTCATGAGCCACTGTGTCTGGCTAAAATGTATTTCTAATATGTACATAGGTTTAATTTATATATAGTTTAATCAATCTCTGATTAATTGACCATGATAAATGAGTCTTTGTTAATTGTTGGACTTCACTTACTGGGCTTATGTGGTAGGATTTGCATACTCTCACTTATATATGTACGTATTTCATATTTATGGAAAATCTACTTTTGGTACAAAAAATGTATTTGCTAATAGTGGCAAAAAAGAGAAATTCACTCTGTGCCTATGTACCTTTTTGCTCCATCAGCACTGCCTTCAGTGACATGACAACAGTAACACATGAAGGGACTTTCAACAAAATTTGAGGTTTAAGTAAATAAAAAGCTAGATGTAAACATATATATGTAAATACACACGTAGACACACACAAAAGCATACATGTAGAGAAGAGAGATTCAGATTTGGGAAGTTCATTGGAGCATCCATGACAATACAGAGAGATTCAGATTTGGGAAGTTCATCGGAGCATCCATGACAATACAGAATGTTTTAGACACTGTTTTCTAAAGTCTCATTACTGTAGTATCTGCAGTTCCCTTTCTTTCTTCGATCTAGTTGGATAAAAGAGGAATAGGTCTTAAGAGGAATGCTTCTTATTCCTATTCCATTGGTCACCCTTATTTAGCAGCACCCTGAAACCTTAGGAAAATATGAGAATGTGTGTATTGTATGACACTCTACCAGAGTGAGCCAAAAGAGGCAGCCGTCCTGTTTGGAGCAAGGAGGAGGTAACAGTGGGCAGGGAGCTGAGGAGCTCTCAACAGAAAAGAACAAAGCTAATAGACCCCGGTCTCTCCGTCTGTTACCACATGAGGCTACTGCCCCAAAGGTAAACCCACCATCAGATTGTATGGAGGCCCTGCCTTGGGTCTGTAGTTACTTAGCCCTCTCTGAGGGGCAGGAAAGACATCCATGATTGGTGAAGAGTTACTGGTGGTATTTGAACGTGAGAAGGCAGAAAATTACAAGGGCAAGCAAGGTGGGTATTTACAAACTGAAGTTGAATTTATGTAAATTTTGCCAGAAATAGTAACTTGGGGATTATGTTTAGGAGTAAAGAAATGTGTATAAACTTGATTCATTAAGTTTTTTTCACAGGCCAAAAAATTTCATTACAAACATCTAAAACTTCATTTCCAGAGAAAAATTAAATACCAGGTTTCAAATAAATAACTGATTAATGTCAATTTTTCAGGGTAACTAGATTATAGATGGTAGAATAATTATTGCTAATTTGTATCAGAAAATTAAGTCTAGGATAACATGTGGAGTCTTGCTATGTGCATTTTTAATCCTTTAGCTACTACTTCATTGAATTAAAAAGAGTAATGTGTGGTAGAGTCATCAATGATGGGTGAAATTTCAAAATATGGAGAGAAAGAAGAGAGGGATGTATTGAGATTGGTAAAATTCACTCACAAATGAAGTAATACAGAACTGCAGTTAAACAGTGATTCATTAGACTGTTTGTTAAGGCCCAAGAGCACCTTTACATAATGTAAGGTTTTCTTCTAGGAAAACATGATATATTAATCACTGACATATACATTTTCAGAGTTCAACCAGTTTATAAATGTAGAGCAATAGTATAAAACTTCAACCAGAAAAGTATGTCTCTGAAGTCACTTGACCTGACCTGTACATTTTTAATCCTTAGCACTGGCCCGGATAAAATGACATCAGTAGTCTTTCACTACTTTAATGTATCTTTGATATAACTTGCCTTTCAGTGGTGGTGTCATTGAAAACTACTGAGGTTATTAATTTGGGTCACTTCTAAAGGATCTATCTATACACACACACACACAACACACAACACACATGTATATATGTGTGTGTATATATATACACAGATATCTCTTTTAGCTATATATGTAGTATACATAGGTATATAAATATGTATTTGTGTGTATGTAGATACACGTCTCTATACATGTCTATATATTTGCATATTTAAATGTGTGTATACATATCTATATATATAGACATATTCTTTAGCACTGACCCAAATTAATAACATCAGTAGTCATATATATATCCTTTTACATATATAAGCATGTGTGTGTATATATGAAAACATATATGTATATATCTTTAGCCTATATATGTATATGTATACATATATAGTTTATATTTACGTGTGTGTGTGTATGCAGATATATCTTGTTTTATTGTGCTTTACTTTATTGCCCCTCAGATATTACTTTTTTTATAAACTGAAGGTTTGTAGCAACCCTGCGTTGAGCAAGTCTCCTGGTTTTATTTTTCCAACAGCATGTTCTCACTTTGTGTCTCTGTCACATTTTAATAATTCTTGCAATATTCCAAACTTTTTATTATCATATCTGTTATGGTGAACTGTGATCAGTGATCTTTGATGTTACTATTGTAATTATTTTGGGGCAACACGAACCATGCCCATATTAAGATGACCAGCCTAATTAATGACATGTTGGTTCTGACTGCTCCACTGACTAGCCATTCCCCCATCTCTCTCCTCCGTGGGCCTCCCTATTCCCTGAGACACAATAATATTGAAAGTAGGCCATTTAATAAGCCTACGATGGTCTCTAAGTGTCCTAGTGAAAGGAAGAGTCACATGTCTCTCACTTTAAACCAAAAGCTAGAAATGATTGTGAGGAAGGCTAGACTTGCACCAGTTCAGCCAGGTTGTGAATGTAAAACAAAAAACAAAATGAGAAAGCCAAAAAACTTCTGGAAGAAAATTAAGACTGCTACTCCAGTGAACGTACAAATGATGAGAAAGCAAAACAGTCTGATAGCTAATGTGGAGAATGTTTTAGTGGTCTGGATAAAAGATCAAACCAGCCACAGCATTCCCTTAAGCCAAAGCCTAATCCAGGACAAGGCCCTCACTCTCTTTGATTCAATGAAGGCTGGGAGAGGTAAGGAAGCTGCAGAAGAAAAGCTTGAAGCTAAAAGGTTGGTTCATGAGGTTTAAGGAAATAAGCCATCTCCTTAACATAAAAGTACAAGGTAAACAGCAAGTGCCAATGCAGAAGCAGCAGCAAGTTATCCAGAAGATCTAGCTGAGATAATTGATGAAGGTGGCCACACTAACCAACAGATTTTCAATGTAGACAAGATAGCCTTTTATTGGAAGAAGATGCCATCTAGGACTTTTGTATTTAGAGAGGAGAAGTCAACGCATGGTTTCAAAGCTTCAAAGCACAGGCCAGTTCTCTTGTTAGTGGCTAATGAAGCTGGTGGCTTTAAGTTGAAGCCAACAATCATTGACTATTCTGAAAATCCTAGAGCCCTTACGAATTATGGTAAATCAAGCAAGATGGGTGACTAGAGATGCCTGGTGCTTGTCTCCCCTACAAGAAAGAACCGAGGCAACAAATACACATCTAAGATTTGATTAGAGTATCAAAGGGATAGTCCTAGAGTGCAGCAAAGGAGTGGAGACACACCTGTCGTGACTGGAAGTCCCCACAGCATGGAAACACTCAGCTTCTGCAGCCCCTTCTCCCCCATCTGGATTGAATTGGCCCAGAGAGAGGAGGGACTTCTCATTGCAGGGTGAAGGTAAGCAGAAGATCCCCACCAGCCCCACTGCCATCACAAACACAAAGTCTTTACAACAGGAGAATCTCACAGTCTTTGCAAGCCCTGAGGCCAATTTGGAGTACTGCCAAGAATTAACACAGCTACATGTCCTGGACTAGGAGTGCAAGGTGAAGACTTCCCACCCCCAGAGACCTAAGCTGCAGCAACACAGCACCATCTTGAGACCAGAGTCATCTCTTGAGTGTGCCCTCCTCTGGGGGCCAGTAGCCACTGTGCCTCTCCAGCACTGGAGCTTTACCTTCAGTACACCAAGCCCACATGGGTAGGTTAAAGCCACAATCCCAGCTGTGTGGAGGTTGGTCCCAGGATTGGCTGTAACTCAAGTACTGCAGAGCAGGGAAATCAAGCCCCACCACCACACTTCCAGACAGAGGATTAATCTGCAGTCCCATCCAAGGTAAACTCACTCTTAAGCCAGCCAAACCACTACCTGCCCTCTCCCAAGTGGGAGAGGCCCCTAAGCCTCTGAGCAGCTGATACACCCCCAGGTCAACAGAGTGATTACGAGCCCATGCTCAGGACCTGAGAAACAGCCCTGCAAGCCCCATCCACCACAGACATGCTCCTAGCCTGCCCAGGAGCCCTCTGCCTTTACTAAGGGCCTGAAAAACAGTCCCACAGGCTGCTCCCAGCAGGCACACCACTGAGTGGGCCTTGCACCTGTGTCTCAGACGTGAGAGACAAGCAACTGTGTATGCCCAAGTCTCAGGGCCAAGAAACAACCCTGGGAGCTTACTCTGGCCAGCATACCCTCAGGCCAGCTAAGCAGCCACATACCTATGTCCCAGGTTGAGGAACATTGTGGGTCATAGCAGCATTCCCCTGGGCTTCCCCTGGCAGGCACCACCCAGGCCAGCTGAGCAGCAGTGTGCCCACATCGTGAGGTAGAATAGCCCTATGGACTACCCCCAGCAGATACACATCCAGGACAGTTGAGAAGTCATTTGACTGTATCCCAGGCCAGAGAAACACCCCCTCTTGGGCAGTCCTGGCAAAGATACCTTCAGTCCAGCTTAGCAGCCATGCAGCTATATATTTGGCCTATGAGTTTCCCCCAGCAGACTGGCCCCAGGCCAGATGAGCAGCTGTGTACCCACATACCAGGCATGGGAAACAGCCCTTCAGGCCACTCCAGGAGTGCATGCTTCCAGGCCAGGCAAACAGCTGTGTGCCTGCATCCTGGGCCTGAGAAACTGTCCTGCAAGGCACATCTGGCTGGCATGTCTTGGTTGAGCAACTGCATCCCCATGCTCCTGGCTAGAGTGACAGCACCATGGCCAGCCACATAAAGCCATACTCCAAGTTTTCTGATCCACTGTATGCCTGCACACACCCCTACCCTGAGAAACAGCCCAGTGAGCCCACCCTTGACAAAGCTGCACCACATCACCACAAATTTCCTTAGCCTAGGCCACTGAGTAACTTGCAAATGTTACTAGTGTGGGTCACAGCTGAATTAACTACATGGAGACTACACTTACTGCATCCATGTAGAACCAGGGCCAATATACCCCAATGAACTGACATCCAAGACCCATTCATACAAATAAATTCATACAAGTAAAGCTACTCCATAAAATTGGAAAAGGTGACTTTTACACCAGATGCATAGAAATCAACATAGAAACACACCAACCATGAAATGCAAGCAAACATGTCACCTACAAAGGGAAATAATCATTATCCAGTAATAGACCCCAATCATAAATATATGAAATGACAGAAAAAAGAATAATCTTAAGGAGACTCAGTGAGATATAAGGTAATACACATAGACCAGTCAATGAAAACAGGATTTGAAAGAGAAATTCAGTAAAGATACAGATATCATAAAAAGAACCAACAGAAGCCCTAAGAGCTAAACAGTTCAAGGGATGAAATGAAAAAATACAATCAATGGCTTTATAGACAAGATCAAACAGAATAAATGATTTCTGAACTTGAAGACAAGTCCTTTGAAATAACACAGGCAGGCAAAAAAGAATAAAAAAGAATGAAAAAGCCTACAGGATTTATGGGACACCATTACTTTGATCAAATATTCATATTATGGGCATTCCAGAAGGAAAAGTGAAGAGAAAATATGAGGAAAACATATTTAATAAAATAAGAGCATGAAAATTCCTAACTCTTGAAAGAGATCTAGACATCTAGTTTCAGGAAGATCAAAGAACCCCAAATACATTCAACCCAGACATTATAATCAAATTGTGAAAAATCAAAGACAAAGATTTTTTAAAATAGCAGAGAGAAGTAAGACACTTATAATGGAATCCCCATTAGACTAACAGCTGATTTCTCAGCAGAAACCTTAGGCTAGAAGAGAATGGGATGATATATTTGAAGTTCTGAAAGAAAAAAATCTTTCAGCCAAGAATACTATACCCAGCACAGCTATCCTTTACAAATGAAGAAGACATAAAATCTGTCACAGATAAACAAAAAGCAAGATAATTCATCACCACTAGACCAGCCTTACAAGAAATGCCCAAGGGAGTCTTACATCTGGAAGTAAAAAGATGATAACCACTATCATAAAAACATGCAAAACTTTAAGTCACTGTTAGAGTCAGTACATAAAGGAGAAAGAAAGGAATGAAACCTTATCACTACAGAAAACTACCCAACTTCAAAAGTAAACAGGAAGAAAGGAACAAAACATATACAAAACAACCAGAAAACAATAAAATGTTGGAAGTAACTCCTCACCTACCAATAATAACTTTGAATGTCAATAGATTAAATACACCATGAAGGATATAGACTTGCTGAGTGGATTAAAAAATAAGACCCAACTATATTTTATCTAAAATAAACTCACCTTACCTGTAAAGAAACACATAGACTGAAAATGAAGGGAAGGAAAAAGATATTCCATGCAAATGGAAGCCAAAAGTGAGCAGAAATAGCTATACTTGTATCAGACAAAACAGACTTCAAGTTAAAAAACCATAAAAAATGACAAACAAAATTATTATGTAATAATAAAGGGTTCCATTCAGCAAGAAATATAACTTAATTATAATATGTGTATAATTGTAAATATGTATGCACTCAAACACCAGAGCACCTAGACATATAAAGTGAATATCTAGATCTAAAGAGGGAGATAGACCCAGTTACAGTAAGAGTTGGGCACTTCAGTATCTCACGCTCAGCATTGGACAAATCATCTTGACAGAAAATCAACAAAGAAACATAGACTTAAACTCCACCATAGACCAAATGGACATAACAAACATTTACAGAACATCCACCTAACAGCTGCAGAATACACATTCTTTTCATCAGCACATGAAACATTATCCAAGATAGACCGTATGTTAGGCTACAAAACAAGTCTCAACAAATTTTTAAAAATTGAAATTATTTCAGGTGTCTTATCTTACCACAATGGAATAAAACTAGACATTCATAACAAGAGGAACATTCAAAACTATACAGTCATATGGAAATTAAACAACATGTCCTTGAGTTACAATGAGTGAAGAAAGAAATTAAGAATGAAATTTTAAAATTCCTTGAAACAAATGTAACTAGAAACACAACATACCAAAACATAGGGGACACAGCAAAAGCAGTTATTAAGAAGTATGTTTTTAGCAATAAATGCCTGGATCATAAAAAACTAGAAAACTTTCAAATAAGGTACTGAACAATTGTACCTCAAGAAACTAGAATAGTAAGAACAAACCAAACCCCAAATTATTAAAGGGAAATAAATAATGAAGAACAAACAGAAATAAACAAATTTGAGGCAAAAATTACAAAAGGTTAACAAAAAGCAGGTTTAAAAATATCAACAAACTGTTAGCTAGACTAAGAAAAAGAGAAGACACAAGTAAATTCAGAAACAAAAAAAGAGACAACATAACAGATATGACAGAAATAAAAAGAATTATTAGAGACTTATGAACAACTCTACAATAAATTTGAAAACCTAGAGGAAGTGGATAAAATCCTCGACCCATACAACCTACTGAGACTAAACCAAGAAGAAATAGAAAACCTGAACAGACCATAAGCAAGTAATGAGATTGAATCAGTAATAAAAAGGCTTTCAACAAAGTCCAGGACCTGATGGCTTCACCACTTAATTCTCACTTGTGAAAGGAAGAGTCATTTGCTACAGCAAACTTCATTGTTGTCCTATCTTAGGAAATTGCCTCAACCACCCCGACCATTGGCAGCCACCACTCTGATCAATCAGCAGCCATCAACGTGGAGGCAACACCCTCCACCAGCAAAAAGACTATGGCTTGCTAAAGACTCAGGTTATCATTAGCATTTTTTAACCAATAACGTAGTTTTGAATTAAGGTATGTACATAAGTTTTTGAACATAATGCCATTGCAAACTTAACAGGCTATAGTGTAGGGTAAACATAACTTTCACATGCACAGGGAAACCAAAACATTTGTGTGAGTTGCTTAATGCAGTTTTTGCTTTATTGCAGTGGTCTGGAATGAAACCCACAATGTCTTTGAGATATGTCTATACACGTTATTTATATATTATACATCTGTAGACATGTTCTTTTATATATCTTTATATACATATATATAGAAAGAGAGATAGAAAAGAAGACAAAAATATGGAAAATTCAGTGTTGGGAGTATCCATGAGGAAAGAGTTTCTGGTTAATGATTGTAATTTTCTTTCTTAAATATTAGATCTTCCAGTGAGCTAAGTCATGTTTACTATATCCTTTAGATTCATGGGATTCTTGTTATTCAAATATATTTTCCATCACTATTTTGTGTAGCAAATATCTAATGATATATTTTTGCTTTTTTTTTTTTTTTTGGTGGCTAAAGTATGTTAGAACGACTTTCCAAGTTTGAAGTTGAAGATGCTGAAAATGTTGCTTCACATGAGTAAGTCAGTTTCAAGTTTGAAAGGAGGGAGCCATTGGTGGATCTCTTGTCTTTAAACAGGGCTTACGCTGAGGCAAGAAGGAAAAAGGGAAACTGTGGAAAGATATCAAAATGTATGGGTGGGAAGGTACACCATATTTACTCCAGTTGAATTCTTAGACAAGTATTATTTTGAAAAAAAAATTCCATCCGTTCAGAAATAAATGTTCTTCTAGCTTGAAAATGTAAAAAGTATTCTTAGAGGAAATTAATTCCATTAAAAGTTTTTTTTGTTTTTTGTTTTTGTTTTTTTTTTTTTAAACAGGGATGCAGAGTGCTACTTAACTCATCAATAGTGAACATTTCTCATTTTTACTGGGTATTGTGTGAGTCCCAATTTTGTAGATTTTGCCTATGAGCAAGTGGTATTGATAGCAAAAGCAAACATGTTTTGCTGACTAACAACCTCTTTATGCTCATTGGGATTTTATTCTTGTTTCTAATCTCACTAGAGGACTTCCTGTTGCACTGACCTGAAGGCATTTTATCATGTACTCACTGTAATGAAACAATACATTCTTAAACCGTCTTGTGTCTGAACTGCAGACATATTCAGGAGATTTTTCTTCTGCTTTTTTGCCCAGTTGTATAACCATTCGCCAGCTTGGGTCAATGCTGGAGAGGAAGTACTGCCATAGAGGAAGTTAACTCGCCATAGTTGTAAGCTGTTGGTGTCTAAACAAAGATTGGAAACAAACAGGGCAAATACAAATAGTTCTTCAAATTACCCTGAATTTGCCACTTAATTAAACTGTGTGTCTGCAAATTAGCTATACATTTTCTGTAATGGAGGTGCCCAGGGCTGATGCAAAATTAGACAGATTAAGCAAGGCAAGCATTTCCTTCTTTCCCCACTCCAAACAAAATACAGCAGGTTTTCATTTCATTTTATTTTTAAATTACAAAGTCTCATTACATAGATATAGGAGGAATTCGCAGTAGTCCCTGTGAGAAATGCTGGTGTTTCATACCAGGGGGATGATCTTGGATTTATAGTAAAAGCTGGAATCAGTGCTGGGCTTTGACATCATATATTCATTCACCTGATACTCAGCAAGTCACTAAACCTCTTTAACTTTCAGATTATTCAAATGTAAACTGGTTATGATGCTATCTATGTACTGGATATTGTATTGTAAAAAATTAGTAATAAAACTAAAATAACATGCAAAAATACTTTGAAAACTCTGTAGCTCTGTGAATAGGTTTTATTCTAAAAACTGAAAATAACGTAAGAGTTCATTAAAGGAAAATCAGAAAATACAATCAACAAATCTACCCACCTATAGTCATTCTTAAACTTGGATGCATGCACTTCTAAGTTCTTTAAGCATATACTTTTTTTGTTTACAGGTATGAGACCATACTTGTTATTATTCTTTTGTAAATAACCTTATTACTTTATGACATCATGACTATATTTTTTTGTTAATACATATTCATGTGCACTTACAACATTATTTGTAACAGTTGTGTAATATTTCATGGTGTAGATGTGCTATAATTCATTTAATAGTCAGATATTGCTGAACAATTAAGTTGTTTTTACAAGTTTTTAAGTGTTACAAAAAATGAATATATTTGAGGCTAAATCTTTGCATATTGTTGGTTATTTGTTTATTACAAATTCTCAGAAGTGGAAAGTCTGCGTCAAAGGGAATGATTGTGACACTATTGATATTGATATGTGCTTTAACATCAAGATGCAAAGTGTACATTTCTCCCCTCCCACACTTAGCACTAGCCATCATTGATTTATTTGATATTAGTAAATATATTTGTTTTAATGCACATTCTTGACACACCTTCATTTACCCTTTCTAAGTTAATATTTCATCATTTGCAAACTACCTTTGCCCAGTTAAAATTGGAGTGTTTTTCTGTCTTTGGACTGAAAAGTTAAATCTGTTGATCCTTTTTCTATTTTATGTAATACAAGTAATTTCTCCTAGGTTGTCTTGCTTTTCACTATATAAAAGTATTTAATCTTCATGTAATCAAATGTATCTGTACTTTTCTTTGTGATTTTGCCTTTAATGTTATTCTCAGAAAGTCCTTCTTACCCCAAAATTTTAAATATATTCACCAAAATTTCTGTTTTGAATTTATTTTCTTCATTTAAATAAAATATCTGCCCTGAATTTACTTTGTCTTAAGGTATAAAGTGTAGAAATTTACTTTTCTTCTAAGTGACTCATAGTTTTCTCAGCATGAAAATGTCATCCCCCTGTATTGTCCTTACCCTGTTTTAGTGATCTAGAGTGAGCAGGAAAACCAGAGTCACTACAGTGTTTTTAGTGCTTTGCATCACGGCCATCTCCCTACCCCCAGAGTCTGTACCAGAGAAAAATGTGTCCAGTGGGAGAGATAGCACCTGCCTCCAATACAAATCCCACTTCATTAAACATGGTCTTGTTAGTGTCATGTAGCTCCCACCTTCTATTGATAAAAAATAAGTCATGGTCATAGTTAATATTTGTGCTTTTAATTCAACTTTGATATTGATAGTGGAACTTTCAGTGTGTTAAGGTTTAGTATCTCATATCTGTTTCTGTCTCTCTGTTTTTTTTTTTCCCTGAGCCGGAGTCTTGCTCTGTCACCTGGCTGGAGTGCAGTGGTGCCATCTCAGCTCACTGCAACTTCGGCCTCCCAGGTTCAAGAGATTCTCCTGCCTCAGCCTCTTGAGTAGCTGAGACTACAGGCACGCACCACCACGCCCAGCTAATTTTTTGTATTTTTAGTAGAGACGGAGTTTCACCATGTTGGCCAGGATGGTCTCAATCTCTTGACCTCGCGATCTGCCTGCCTCAGCCTCCCAAAATGCTGGGATTACAGATGTGAGCCACCGTGCCTGGCCTCTGTCTCTTTATTTTTAAATTATTTAAATTTAGTTTTTGTCTCTCACGTATAGCACGTAATGCCTTTAATTTCAAAGTTATCTGAGAGTATTTCTCAATATGCAATATGAGAGTAGTATGTTTGTATTTATGATTTCTGGTATGTTTGGCTTTATTATCTTACTTTTTCTTTATGAAAAATACTTTGATATTTTCTTTTTAAATTGGTCTATATTTTGCTATTGATTTGTTTTTATCCCTTGCATTTTTTATTGATATGCAAGTCAGAAGCCCATTGCTAGTCTATCAATGTTTATATTTAAACATATAGAAAACATAATTATATCATTTTTCTCCATCATTATCAAGAATAAAACTGGACTTATACCTGTGAAAGATAAGAAACGCAACCTGCCTTTACTTCTGTCTTCTTCCACACCTTGAATCCTAGTGTAAAATTCAAATCAATACTATTATTCATGATTTTATGTGATTTATCTTTACTTCTAGAATCATTTATCTACATTTTCACCTGCTACATTTTTACGCTACATTAACAATTATTATTTAGACTTACCTAATTCTGAGTTTATATTATTTACCATCTTTTCTCTGTCAGTCATCTTCCTTAATTCCATGTTCTTCGTGTTGATTCATTGCTCAGCTGACTCAAGCACTCTGAGTAATTGTTTTTGGGAAAGGTACATGGAGGCCGTGCTTTGAGTTGCTGCACGTTGCAGTGTCTGTCTAGTGCTCCCGAGTGTGAACAGTACTTTTCCTGGATATGGATTTATTGAGTGAGTTATTTCCCTGCAAACTGCACATAACTGCTTGAAGCTGCATTTACATAATACACTTTTTTTTAACCGAAAAAGTCTCAATTGTATATTTACTTGGTATAGTTTCAGGGGACACTGAAACAGATTGAAGGGGCTACAACTACCCAAGCTGCTCCTTCATGCCTTCATGATCTGTCAAGCTTGGTTCTGTATGGTCATATTGTCAAGTGAATTCAGATTGATGACATTTCCTTGATACCCAGAGATCCAGTAGACTGTGTGGGATCAGGGGTTCTTGTAGTAAGAGAATGGCAAGTTGAGGAGAGAATTCACCTCTTTTGGCCAATTGATCCTCCATCTGCATCAGCCTTAACTCTCCACGCCTGGGCGTAGGTGGTGGAGAGGGGAAGATTAGAAGGATTGGGGATTTCCTTTATCTCAGGTTAACCTAACATCATTCAGCAAAGGCCAATTTTTTTTTTTAACTTTTATTTTTAGGTTTGGAGGTACATGAGAGGTTTGTTACATAGGTAAACATATGTCAGGGAGGTTTTTTTTTTTTTTTTTTTACTTATTAGTTCATCATCCAGGTATTAAGCTCAGTACCCAAATTGTTATCTTCTCTGCTCCTCTCTCTCCTGCTACCCTCCCCACTTAAGTAGACCCCAGTGTGTGTTTCTTTCTTTGTGTTCATAAGTCCTTATGATTTAGCTACCACTGATAGGTGAGAACATTCAGTGTCTGGTTTTCTGTTTCTGCACTAGTTTGCTAAGGATAATAGCCTCCAGCTCCATCCATGTTCCCACAAAAGACATGATCTCATTCTTTTTTTATGGCTGCATAGTATTCCGTGGTATATATGTTCCATATTTTCTTTATCCAATCTGTCATTGATGGATAGGTAGGTTGATTCCATGTCTTTGCTGTTGTAAATAGTGCTGCAGCGAGCATTCATATGCATGTATCTTTATAGTAGAATGATTTATATGCCTCTGGGTATATACCCAGTAATGGGATAGCTCAGTCAAATAGTAGTTCTGCTTTTAGCTCTTCAAGGTATTGCCGTACTGCTCTTTACGATGGTTGAACTAATTTACACTCCCACCAACAATGTATAAGTGTTCCCTTTTCTCTGCAACCTTGCCAGCATCTGTTATTTTTTGACTTTTTAGTAATAGCCATTCTGACTGGTGTGAAATGGTATCTCATTGTGGTTTTGATTTGCATTTCTCTAATCTGTGATATTGAGCTATTTTTCATATGCTTCTTGGCCACATGTATGTCTTCTTTTGAGAAATGTCTGTTCATGTCGAAGGCCAATTTTGGCAGTGCCCCAGTTCTGCTCAGTATCTGCCCTCTTTGTTCTGCAGTCTTAGGCACAGGCTGTGAGCGTTGTCTTAGGATTCATGGCTCTTGGGGTGGAATTTGAGTCCTGTGTTGGAGGCTTCAGTGTGACAGAAACTTCCTGAAGACTTCTCCTCCTGAAGAGCCTCCAACACAGGAGGCTTCAGCAGGACAGAAGAATTGTTCCTCATCAGCTACCTTGTCTCCAGCCATAAGGTAAAATAAAGCATTACTGGAGGCTCCATCAAGCAGGTTCTCCTTTCTTGGATTAATGGAAGGAGCCCAGTCTTTTGGGTGTTTCTCCTTTGACGTATATCTTACTAAAATGTCTTACCTCTGAAGTTCATTTGCAACCTCAAATGCGACTCTTGCTAACGTGTATCTGTTCACTAGGTGTCTCGTTTGAAGAGATGACAAGAGCATCATTTACTCCCTATGCTCATTCCTGAAATGCCTTATTTTATTGCAGTGGAAACTGAGATCTGGCCAAAGTTTGATTACTTGCCCAGGCCGGCATTAAAATACAGTTCTCTTCTACCACTCTTTTCTGTTTTCATGCTATATTCCTTGAGTTGATGACCACAAGTTTAAGTTTAATATTGCCATAAAGTTGGGGTTGGAGCTTTGCATGCAACGGAAATGTTACTAAACATCCAAAGTTTACTGTCTTATTTGCATATGTTCTGGATAGCAAAGTAAAATACTTATGGCACAGAAAGAATAAAATTTTAGCTATTAGTAAAAAGCATTTTGTCATACAACTTCTGAATAACTTTCTTTTAAAATTGTATTTATAAAGGCCTTTGTTTTTTGGTTAAACTTACAATATATGTTAGAAGAAATCTGATTAATTTTATTTTTACTTCTTTTTGCAGCACCAAGATTAAGAAAATTGTGCGTTCAATTGTATCATCCTTTGCATTTGGGTATGTGAGACATAGAAAACATCATGTATTAAATATATCTGAGACTTGACTGGGCATGGTGGCTCATGCCTGTAATCCCAGCACTCTGGGAGGCCAAAGCGGGTGGATCACCTGAAGTCAGGAGTTCAAGACCAGCCTGGCTAACATGGTGAAACCCCATCTCTACTAAAAATACAAAAAGAAGGCACAGGTTGCAGTGAGCTGAAATTGCACCATTGCACTGCAGCCTGGGCGACAGAGCAATACTCCATCTTTTAAAAAAAGAAAAAAATATATATATATATATGTATATATATGAGACTTAATACTTCAATGAGAAAGACTGAAATAAAAAAACCAAAAAAGCATTTCCACCGTCCATCAGTTGCTAAGTAGCCATGTGCCCCCATCTAATGTAATCTAATTTATCATGGAATTTTGGTTTAAGCTGGACATTAAGACTTGCAAATAAATGGCTTTTGCCTAAGATTAATAGTAACTTATTAATATTGTTTTTCTTCCATCTGTAAAAGTAACATTAATGAAAATCAAATGTTAAAATTCTATAATTATAAGTAACGTGTTTTATTAAGTACCTTATACATCCAGAATTACTCTTTAATTCTGGAAACAATTTACTTAGACTCTTCTCTACATAAGAGTAAGATTTCATACTATGATACAGATTTATGCAATGTAATTGTTTCCTTTTGAATTAATACTATTTTAATTTGAGCTGCAAGTTTTAAAAAACTACTTGGAAGACTAATTCATCTTCATAGATTAGGCAAATAGCCTTATCAGTTTATGGAGAATGTATTTAGAATATGTAACAGCAAGTGGCAGGAGGTACTTTAGAGTTCAAGACTCATGTACCCATCACTATGCTAGAAGCACCCATAAATATGGAATCATGTACTTGTTGAGAATGTCACTGATGAAAAATCTTGGTCTTTTATGAGCATATGTTACTCATGCTTTCATTTGGTTTTTATTAATAAATTCTTTAGAATTATCCAGATTGAGGGTTTATTTTTTTATGAGAAATTGGTATAAATTTCTTATGACATTCTCAAATTTTAAGAAGAATTTACAAACAGACACAGGTGATTTTAATTCAGTTTTACTTTTCTCTTGAAGTGTTGGTCTGATGTGTCTACTATAAAAGGGCATGATAATATCTCGTGAAGTGGTTTGGTGAAAATTTTGTTTATTAAGAACTGCTTCTATTGGATGAAAACAGTGATGTTTCTGAGATTCTATAACATTACAGTTTTTCCTGCCACTGGGCAGCTTAATACTAAATAATAACATTTTGGTACCTGATCAGTGGCCTAAATATAGTATAGCTATAGGGACAAAAGCCCCTTTATCTTTGCATTTATTTATTTATTTATTTATTTATTTATTTATTTTAGAATATTTGGAGTTTTCCTGGTCTTACTGGATGTCACTCTTCTCCTTGCCGACCTAATTTTCAATGATAGCAAACTTTATATTCCTTTGGTGTATCGTTCTATTTCTCTAGCTATTGCCTTATTTTTTCTCATGGATGTTCTTCTTCGAGTATTTGTTGAAGGGTAAGTTTGATTATTTTTATAATGCATTAAGCTATTTTGTACTTTTATAAGAAGCGCTGTGGGAGGCTGAGGTGGGAGGACCCCAAGGTCAGGAGTTAGAGACAATCCTGGCCAACATGGTGAAACCCTGTCTCTACTAAAAATAGAAAAATTAGCTGGGCATGGTGGTGGGTGCCTGTAATCCCAGCTGCTTGGGAGGCTGAGGCAGGAAAATCATTTGAACCTGAGAGGCAGAAGTTGCATTGAGCCGAGATCACGCCATTGCACTCTAGCCTGGGTGACAGGGCGAGACTCCATCTCAAAGACAAAACAAAACAAAACAAAACGAAAAACAGAAGCATTTTAAAATATTTCACAGGAGCATTCACCACAAACTGACTTAAGAGCCTTTGGGCCTTATGAGAACATTGGCAGTAGTCTGGCAGTACCCCCATGGCCTGTGTTTGAGGTGGCCGTGGATTGATGCTCCTCTGCCTTTGGAGAGGGGTAGAAAGAGTGGGAGGGACTGCATCTTGTGGTTTCAGTGATAGCTCAGTGATAGCACAATAAAATACTAGGTAGACTTTTAAAGTTTTTGATCTAGACCCTGATTCCCAGACAGCGCCTTTGGATCCACCCACAGGCTGAGAGAACTTGCCATCCTGAAGAGAAGGACACAGACCTGGCTGTTTTTACCATGTGATGACTGTAGAGCCCCATGGCCTTCAGCAAACTTATGCAATAGCTAAGGAGAGGCTACAGCAGGTCTTGGGCAAGACCCAGTGCTGTGCTGGCCTTAGGTCTGACCCAGTGTAGTCACAGTAGTGGTGGCCACAGGGGTGCTTGTGTCACTCATCCCCAAGCTTTTGGTGCCTCAGGACAGAGAGGGAGAGAGACTCTGTTTGTTTGGGAGAAAGTAAGGGAAGAGAACAAGAGTCTCTTTTTGGTAACGCAGAGAATTATCTTGGATCTTGTCCTAGACCATTAAGCAGTACCACTATGAGTCTGCAAGAACCACAGAGTTTAGCAGGCTTGGGGTGCCCCCTAAAGCAGAGACAGCTTAGATCACAATATCCAAGTTCTTTCAAATATCTGGAAAGCCTTCCCAAGAAAGATGGGTATAAACAAGCCCTGACAGTGAAAACTACAATAAATACCTAACTCTTCAATGCCCGGACACCAAAGAACATCTGCTAGCATCAACACTTTCCAGGAAAACATGACCCCACCAAATGAACTAAATAAGACACCAGGGGCCAATCCTGTAGAAACAGAGATATGTGACCTTTTAGACAAAGAAATCAAAATAGCTGTGTTGAGGAAACTCAAAGAAATTCAAGATAACACAGAGAAGGAATTCATAATTCTATTTAGATAAGTTTAACAAAGAGATTGAAATAATTTAAAAGAATCAAGCAGAAATTCTGGAGCCAATAAATGTAATTGGCACACCAAAGAATGCATTAGAGACTTTTAATAGCAGAATTGATCAAGCAGAAGAAAGAATTAATGAGCTTGAAGACAGGCTATTTCAAAATACATAGAGGAGACAAAGGAAAGAATAAAAAACAATGACGCATGCCTACAGGATCTAGAAAATAGCCTCAAAAGGACAAATCTAAGTGGTATTGGCCTTAAAGAGGAGATGGGAGGTGTAGAAAGTGTATTCAAAGGTATAGTAACAGAACTTCCCAAACCCACAGAAAGATACCAATATCCAAGTACAAGAAAGCTATAAAACACCAAGCAGATATAACTCAAAGAAGACTACCTCAAGGAATTTAATAATCACAGTCTCAAAGATCAAGGATAAAGAAAGGATCTTAAAAGCAGCAAGAGAAAAGAAACCAATATATATAATGGAGCTACAATATATCTGACAGCAGACTCTTCAGTAGAAACGTTTCAGGCCAGGAGAGAGAGGCATGACATATTGAAAGTGCTGAAGGAAAAAAAGCATTTACCTTGAAACAGTGTATCCAGTGAAAATATCCTTCAAAGTGAAGGAGAAAAAAAGACTTTTCCACACAAACAAAAGCTGAGGGATTTCGTCAACACCAGACCTGTCCTAGAAGAAATGCTAAAGGGAATACTTCAATCAGAAAGACAAGGACATTAATGAGCAATAAGTAACAACCTGAAGGTATAAAATGCACTGGTAATAGTAGGTACACAGAAAAATGCAGAATGTTATAACACTGTAACTATGATGTATAAACTACTCTTATTCTAAGTAGACTAAACTATGAGCCAATCAAAAATATTAACTACAACTTTTCAAGACATAAATGGCGTAATGATAGAAATAAAAAGTTAAAAAATAGGGACACAAAGTTAAGTTGTAGAGTTTTTATTAGTTTTCTTTTTACTAGTTTATGAAAACAGTGTTAAGTTATTATAAGATTAAAATAATGGACTATAAGATAGTATTTACAAGCCTCATGGTAACCTCAAACCAAAAGACATAACAATGGATACATGAAAAATAAAAAGCAAGTAACTAAATCACATCACCAGAGAAAATTACCTTCACTAATGGAAGACAGGAAGGAAAGAAGGAAGAGAAGACCCCAAAACAACCAGAAAAAAAAAACAACAAAATGGCAAGAGTAAGTCAGTCCTTACTTATCAATAATAATGTTAAGTGTCAGCAGACTAAACTTTTCAGTCAAAAGACAGAGTGGATGAATGGATGAAAAAACAAGACCCAGCCAGGTGTGGTGGCTCACGCCTGTAATCCCAGCACTTTGGGAGGCCAAGGCAGGTGGATCACGAGGTCAAGAGATAGAGACCATCCTGGCAAACATGGTGAAACCCTGTCTCTACTAAAAATACAAAAATTAACTGGGCATGATGGTATGCACCTGTAGTCCCAGCTACTAAGGAGGCTGAGGCAGGAGAATAGCTTGAATCCGGGAGGCAGAGGTTGCAATGAGCCGAGATGGCACCACTGCACTCCAGCCTGGTGACAGAGCAAGACTTCGTCTCAAAAATAAATAAATAAATAAATAAATAAAAAGACCCATTGATCTGTTGCCTACAAGAAACACTCTTCTCCCGTAAAGACACACATAGGCTGGAAGTGGTGGCTCACTCCTGTAATCCCAGCACTTTGGGAGGCAGAGGTGGGTGGTATACTGGAGGTCAGGAGTTCAAGACCAGCCTGGCCAGTATGGTGAAACCCTGTCTCTACTAAAAATACGAAAATTAGTTGGGTGTGGTGACCGGGCGCCTGTAATTTTAGCTACTCATGAGGCCAAGCCAGGAGAATCACTTGAACCTGGGAGGCAGAGGTTGCAGTGAGCTGAGATCATGCCACTGCATTCCAGCCTGGGTGACAGAGTGAGACTCAGTCTCAAAAAAAAAAAAAAAAAGCAAAACAAAAACCAAAAAAAATGCCAATATATCTGATAAATATTGATGCAAAAATCCTCAACAAGATACTAGAAAACTGAATTCAGCAATATATGGGAAAGATCATTCATCATGACATGTGGGATGTACCTCTGGGATGCAAGAATGGTTCAATATTTGCAAATCAATCAATGCGATACATTATATCAACGCAGTAAAGGATAAAAACCATAAGATCATTTCAGTTGATGCTAAAAAGCATTTGATAAAATCCAACATCCCTTCATGGTAAACATCCTAAAAAAACTGGGTATAGAAGTAACACACCTCAACATAATAAAAACCATGTATGACAGACCCACAGTCAATACCATACTGAATGGGGAAAAAACTGAAAAGCTTTCCTCTGCAATCTAGAACACAACAAGGATGCTCACTTTTACCACTGTTATTCAACATAGTACTGGAAGTGCTAGCTAGAGCCATCATAGAAGAGAAAGAAATAAAGGGAATATAAAAAGAAATCCAAATTGGGATAGAAGAAATAAAATTATCCTTGTGTTTGCAGATGATACATTTTATTTGGAAAATACTAAAGACTCCACAAAAAACTTAGAACTGATAAATTCAGCAAAGTTGCAGGATACAAAATCAATATACAAAAATCAGTAGCATTTCTGTATGTCAACAGTGAACCATTTGGAAAGGACATTTAAAAAGTGTTCCTATATACAATAGCCACAAATAAAATTAAATACCTAGAAATTAACCTAACCAAAGAAGTGTAAGACCTTTATAATGAAAATGATAAAACACTGAAGAAAGAAATTGAAGAGGACACCAAGAAATGGAAAGAGATTCCATGTTCGTGGATTGGAAGAATCAATATTGTTTAAATGTCCATACTATCCAAAGCAATTTACAGATTCATTGCACTCCATGTCAAAATATGAATGACATTCTTCACAGAAATAGAAGAAACAATCCTAAAATTTATGTGGAGCCACAAAAGACCCAGAATAGCCAAAGCTATTCTAAGCAAAAAGAACAAAGCTGGAGGAATCACATTACCTGACTTCAAATTATACTACAGAACTATATAACCAAAACACCATGGCACTGGCATAAAAACAGACATATAGACCACTGGAACAGAATAGAGAACCCAGAAACAAGTCACACACTTACAGTGAACTCATTTTTCATAAATGTGCCAAGAACATACATTGAGCAAAAGACTTCTCTTCAACAAATGGTTCTGGGAAAACTGGATATACACATACAGAATAATGCACCTAGACCCCTACCTCTCACCATATATAAATATCAAATCAACATGGATTAAAGACTTAAATGTAAGACCTCAATGAAAGTACTATGCTACAAGAGAACATTGGGACATTGGTCGGAGCAAAAATTACTTGGGCCATACCCGACAAGCACAGGCAACCAAAGCAAAAATGGACAAATGGGATTGCATCAACTTAAAAAGCTTCTTCATAGCAAAGGAAACAATTAACAAAGTGAAGAGACAGCCCACAGAGTGGTAGAAAATATTCGCAAAGTACCCATCTGAAAAGGGATTAATAACCAGAATATGTAAGGAGCCCAAACAACTCTCTAGGAAAAAAATCTAATGATCTAACTATTTTAGTGAGCATAAGATTTGGATAGGCGTTTCTCAAAAGAAAACATACATAAACAGGCATATCAAGAGATGCTTGACATTATAGATCATTAGAGAAATTGGCAGTGTAGAAAACTATAATGAAATATCATCTCATCCCAGCTAAAACTGTTTATATCCAAAAGTCAGGCAATAACAAATCCTGACAAAGATGTGAAGATAAGAGAACCCTCATACACTGTTTATGGAAATGTAAATTAGTAGAATCACTTTGGAGAACAGTTTCGAGGTTCCTCAAAAAACTAAAAATAGAGGTACCATATGATCCAGCAATCCCACTGCTGAGTAGATACCCACAAGAAAGGAAATCAGTATATAGAAGAGATATCTGCATTCCCTGTTTGTTGCAGCACTGTTCATAATAGCTAAGATTTGGAAGCAACTTGTGTCCATCAACAGATGAATGGATAAAGAAAATATAGTACATATACACAAGAGAGTATTATTTAGCCATAAGAACAATAAGATCCTGGCCGAGTGTGGTGGCTCATGCCTGTAATCCCAGCACTTTGGGAGGCTGAGGTGGGCAGATCACCTGAGGTCAGGAGTTCGAGACCAGCCTGACCAACATGGCGAAACCCCATCTCTACTAAAAATCCAAAAATTACCTGGGTGTGGTGCCGGGCGCCTGTAATCCCAGCTACTTGTGAGGCTGAGGCAGGAGAATTGTTTGAACCCAGGAGGTGGAGGTTGCAGTGAGCCAAGATCGTGCCATTGCACTCCAGCCTGGGTAACAACACTGAAACTCCATCTCAAAAAGAAAAAAAAGAAAAAAAAAAAAAAGAGATCCTGTCATTTGGAACAACATGAATGGAACTGGAGATCACTATGTTTGTTAGGTGACATAAGCCAGGCACAGAAGGACAAACCTCACATGTTCTCACTTATTTTGGGGCTCTAGAAAAAAAAAAAAACAATTGAACTCATAGATCTAGAGAGTAGAAGAATGGTCATCAGAGGCTGGGAGTGGTAGTAGGGGCTTGGGGGTGGGAGATAGAGATGGTTAATGGATACAAAAAAATAGAATGAGTAACGCCTACTATTTGATAGCACAACAGATTGACCATGGTCAACAATAACTTGATTGTATATTTTTAACTGACTGAAAGAGTGTAATTGGGGTGTTTGTAACGTGAATGATAAATGCTTGAGGGGATAGATACCCCACTGTCCACGATAAGGGTGATTATTACGCATTTAGTTGTATCATGGCACTTGAATTGCCATGTTGGTGCTTTAGTCATATATATATGTGTCAAATGATGAATACAACTTTATTATTTGAAAACTTCCCATGAATGTTATATTTTCCCCTTAGTCTACTCTAGAAAATACATTTTAAATAATTCATGAAAGTAGAATTCTTAATGTGGATGAGTCAATAGTTTGTGTTCTTTAAATATTCCTATCTCTTCTTGCAGGGGGGAATGAACTTTGTTTGTTTGTTTTATATTACAGGAGACAGCAGTATTTTTCTGACTTACTTAACGTTTTAGATACTGCCATTATTGTGACTCCTGTGCTGGTTGATGTCGTTTACATTTTTTTTGACATTAAGTTTCTTAGGAATATTCCCAGGTATGAAATGTAAGACTTACCTCTCTTAAAGTTTTTCATTAATTTTGCATTTTCTGTGGCTTTTATTCTATATAATCTTTTAAACTTCAAATGTTCTCATTCTATACCAAATACATTGCTTTAAAATGAAACGTTTAGGTAAATTCCCACACACTTTGAAACTAAAAGATTGTGACATCTGGGGAGCAGTGAAGAGCATACACACTAAGTACCATTAATTGAATAAAGAAGATGGGGCTGGGCACGGTGGCGCAAGCCTGTAATCCCAGCACTTTGGGAAGCCGAGACGGGCGGATCACGAGGTCAGGAGATCGAGACTATCCTGGCTAACACGGTGAAGCCCCGTCTCTACTAAAAAATACAAAAAATCAGCCAGGCGAGGTGGCGCCTGTAGTCCCAGCTACTCGGGAGGCTGAGGCAGGAGAATGGCGTAAACCCGAGAGGTGGAGCTTGCAGTGAGCTGAGATCTGGCCACTGCACTCCAGCCTGGGCAACAGAGTGAGACTCAGTCTCAAAAAAAAAAAAAAAAAAAAAGATGTAGTACCCAAAGAAGGACCTTTACTCTTGTACTAACTTTAACTTCCTACATTTCGAAGTTCTCATCAAATTCCCATTTGTATCATTTTTTGGCCTTTTGACTAAGATCAAGTATAATATTCTTATCAGTTTAATATGTGCTATATCAAAAAATTTTATATTAAAAACAATTCCGCTCTGTGCTTCAACTACAAATCCCTTACACACGAAATGTTCTGTGTGGATTTTTCCTACAACCAAGAGGAAATTTATTTGAGCATATGCAAAATTTGAGTGACTTCAATCATGAGTTTCTAAAAAGTAGCAAACAGAACAGAAACTAGGAGATACAGGTGTAGCAACGCAATGGTGGAGTTTTGCAGTATAGTTGTGGTAGAAACAAAGAAAGCGCAGGCAAAGTTAGAACCGTTAGGGATTAGGAAACTAAAGAGTGTATGAGGACCTGGTGACTTTTTTTTCTTTTCTTTTTTTTACTGTGACAGTGAGGAAAATGAAAGAGCACATGTATAGTGGGATGTAGATGGTGGTTTCCTAAGCTTGTTCATGGGTCAAATAGCTGATTTCTTTTCATACCCTAGCTTCCCTGGACTACAGCTCAGGCCCCAACTAAGCGTGTTAAGTGATAGGCTTTTGGAGTTATTTGAAAATAACGTTAGCCAATGTGGTCCTCTGACTAGAAACCTCAGCATCACTTGAGAGCTTGCTAGAAATATAAGAAGAAAAATACCTTAGGCCCCACCCTGGACCCACTGAATCAGTATCTTTGGGACCCAGCAATCTGCAGCTTAACAAGCTTTTCCAGATGGCTGTTATTTACGTGTGCCCAAATCAGAGAAGCACTAGTCCAGACCATCAGTTCTCTGCCTCAGTGTTTCTGACGGTGGTAGAGACACCAGCCAGCACACTTTGGAAGTATCTCAGTCTGTTGCCTGCCTGATCTGCATTAGCAGCTGTAGTGAATCTCTCTTCCTCATGGGAATAGCAGAGATGAACAAGAATAATCAATTTGTTTTGATGTGGAAAAATTGAAAATGCTAGTCTTAAATCCCAAAAGTAAATTAACAAATGCTAAGCGTCTATTGTATCACTATTTCTCTAGACCAGAATTTCTCAACCTCAGCATTACTGACATTTTGGGCCAGATCATTGTCATGAGAGGGTAGTGAGCAGTTATATTAATTGCAGGATGTTAGCAAAATTCCTGGCCTCTATCTACTAGATGTAAGTAACACACACACATACACACACACTCACACAGACACATCAGTTGGGAAAACCTAAATGCCTCCGGACATTGCCAAATATCCCCAAGGTAGGTAATTGGGGAGAAGAGGGAAAATTGCCTCTGGTTAACAACTGCTGCTCTAGACGTAGTTTATATTGATAAAATTCTGTTTCTGAAGCAAAAATGGATCTTTTAAATTTATTGTTAGATGGATACATTTAGTTAGACTTCTACGACTTATTATTCTGATAAGAATTTTTCATCTGATTCATCAAAAAAGACAACTTGAAAAGCTGATGAGAAGGCTGGTAAGTGGCAAAACATGCTTATGATTCAGAAAAACTATTTTGTGTTTTGGGACCCATTGGCAAGGGTTGATATCTATGCTGTATAATGTTTTTATTTTTATGTTGATGAATGTTTCACAAACTAACGATGATTTTAAACTCTCAGGTTTCAGAAAACAAAAGGCGATACACAAGGGATGGATTTGACCTAGACCTCACTTATGTTACAGGTTTGTGACACTTAACTGTTGATTTACTTGTATTACTTCACTTTTTCTTATAATTGTATATTTTTTTGCCTCATCTAAGACACATTCATTCAAAATATTCTTTATTCATGAGGATATATGCCACTGTGATAGTGTGACACATTTGTGGTTTAACCTTGGCAATGGAAGATCTGCATGTCTTCTCAATTCAGGACTACTTGGTTGCAGCATAGGAACTTGAATGGATTTTCAGCTGACTCCATTTCAGTTTCAATTTATTAAGCTCTAGTAGTTATTCTGAGTCTTAAGGATCCCAGAGAGACCTCTTCTCATCCTAGAACCCCAGAGAATGAGGTCAGTGCTTTGTAGATCTCAAGTTTTCTGAGTCAGAGGGCTGCAAAGCACCTTGGGAGTTCCCACCATCACTGGTGCCCAGAATTCTTGGATTTTCTCTGGTATTTAAGATAAGAAATAAATTCTAAGAACAGGGAGAGCTGCATACTGAGGCCAACATAAGTACATGGCATACGGTTAGTACTAGTGGAGTCTTAAGAACGCCATGCCAGTTTAATGGTCATTATGTTGGATCATTTAATATGTTATTTGATTATCCTGAGTATTAGCTCTTTTCTGTCAACCTCAATCTTAAAAGTTTTTTTTTTTTCTGTGAAAATGGAGTCTGATCATGTATTAATTTTTTGTAAGTCATAAGAAATCTATAATAATGTTTTTAATAGTGATGGTTTTGATTTTCAGAACGTATTATCGCTATGTCATTTCCATCTTCTGGAAGGCAGTCTTTCTATAGAAATCCAATTGAGGTAAGGGTCTTTATCTGACAAATACTCATTTATCAGTGAATGCAGACTATGTAGTCACAAGTTTAATATTGACCCAGATATGGCAGTGTTCTTTTAAAAATGTACTCTTTAAAGTAAAAAAATCATAATGAATTGATACCAGTTACAATTGTGCCAGTGGTTACAAACCACCCCAAAACTTACTGGCTTATAACAGCAACTATTTATTTGGCCCATGACACTATGGTTTGTGAATTTGGGATGGGCTTAACTGTCCAAAACAGGTGCCTGCAGAAAGGATTTCTTGTCTCAACTAAGCTCATTCATCTATCTGTGGGCAGCTACTGGGTCATCTGAGGACTGACTAGTCTAAAATGACTTGGCTACCCTCAACTGACAGAGCCACCGCATGCTACATGCACCCCCAAGGCCCAAGGCCTGTCCCATCTGGCACCCACTGCTGCCAACAGCCCCACCCCCTTCACCAGCAGAGCCACCATATGCTGCATGCACTTCTAAGGCACTGAGGCCTGGCCTGCCTGGTGCCCAACCTGCTGGTGGCAATACCCCACAACTAGCAAAGCCATTGCACCTAGCATGCATATGCCTAGGGCCTGAGAACTCATCTGAATGATGGCTCACAGACCAAAAAAACCATACCACTGTCTCCACACTCACCATCAGGCCACTGAGGCACTCACAGACACCACTGAATGCTGATTACAGCCAAAAAAGTCACATGAAGACTATATTACTGCACCCACCCAGAACCAAAGTCAAAGCACCCCACTCAATGAACACTATAGGAGGCAACTATTGGAAGAAGTATTTCTCTATGAAAGCTCCCTAACATTGGAAGAGGCAACTGTTCCCCCAGATGTGCAAAAATCAATTTAGGGACCCAAGAAACATAAAAAGCAAGGAAACATTACACCTCCAAAGAAACACAATAATTTCCCATTAGCAGACCCTAAATTTTCAGAGTATATCAAATGGCTAAGAAGGAATTCAAAATAATGATCTTAAGGAAACTCTGTGAGATGCAGAGAATATAGATAAACAAATCAATGAAATTAGAAAAACAATTTATGATCTTATGAGAAATTCAACAGGGATATATATGTCATTAAAAACCAGATAGAGATCTTGGAGCTGAAGAATTTAAGGAATAAAATAATAATACCATCAAGAGTCCAGGTGCAGTGGTTCACACCTGTTATCCCAGCACTTCGGGAGGCCAACGCAGTGGATCACTTGAGGCTAGGAGTTCAGGACAAGCCTGATTAACATGGTGAAATCCTGTCTCTAAAAAATACAAAAATTAGTTGGGCTTGGTGGCGCATGCCTGCAATCTACTTGGGAGGTTGAGACATGAGAATTGCTTGAACCCAGGAGGTGGAGGTCGCAGTGAGCCAAGATTGTACCACTGCACTCCAGTCTGGGTGGCAGAGCGAGACCCTGTCTCAAAAAAAAAAAAAAAAAAAAAAAAAAAAAAAAAAAGCAATCAAGAGGTTTAAAAACAGACATGGGAGAGATATGGCCAAAATCTAGGAAGCTCAAAGGTTCTCAAATAGATTCAACTCAAAAAGTTCTTCTCTGAGGTGCATAATAGTCAAACTGTCAAAAGTCAAAAAGAGGGAATATTCGTTAGGTGTGGTGGCTCACACCTGTTATCCCAGCACTTTGGGAGGCAGAGGCGGGTAGATCACTTGAGGCCAGGAGTTCAAGATGAGCACAGCCAACATGTTTCCGTTTTCACTAATAATACAAAAACATCAGCTGGGTGTGGTGGCATGAACCTGTACTTCCAGTTACTTGGGAGGCTGAATCACAAGAATTGCTTAAACCCAGGAGGTAGAGGTTGCAGTGGGCCAAGATCACACCACTGCACTACAGGCTGGGTGACAGAGCGAGACTGTATCCAAAAAAAAAACAAAAAAAACAAAAACAAAAACACAGAAATATCAAAAACAGCAAGAAAAAAGCATCAAGTCACGTATAAGGGAACCTCCATTTGATTAACAGTGGATTTCCCAGTGGAAATATTTCTAAATATTTGCTATTGGTATATAGGAACATAACTAATTTTTGCATATTGACTTTTGTTTGTTTGTTTGTCTTAAGACAGGGCCTTGCTCTGTCACCATAGGCTGGAGTGAAGTGGCACCTGGGCTCAAGCAATTCTCCCACCTCAGTCTCCCACATAGCTGGGACTATAAGCAGGCATCACCACACTTGGCTAATTTTTTTTATTAATTTTTGTAGAGAAGGAGTCTCTCTGGTCTCACTGACCCAGGCTGCTCTTGAATTCCTGGATTCAAGCAATCCTCCCACCTCAGCCTCCCAAAGTGCCGGGATTCCAGGTGTGAGCCACCACGCCTGGCCTTGGATGCTGACTTTACATCTAGCATCCTTCGTAAATTCACACATTCATTTTCATAATGAATGTGTAGATTCCCTGGGATTTTTTAAATGTATACAATCATATAAAGTCACTACTTTCTTCCCACTTTTTATACTTTTTTTTTCTTTCTTTATTGAATTATCTAGGACTTTCACTGTAATATTGAATAGAAATGGTAAGAGGAGGCAGCCTTGCCCTGTTCCCAAACTTGGGTGGAAAGAATTTCATGCTTCACTGTTTGAAATGGTGTTTGCTATAGGCTTTTGTAGTCATTCCTTACTAGATTAAGACAGTCCATTTATTTCCAGTTTGCTAAAAGTTTTGAATCATGAATTGGTATTGAATGTATCAGATATTTTTTCTCCATCAATCAAGATAATCAAAATGTTTTTCTGTTAGTCCATTAATGAGATTTTCAAATGTTAAACTAACCTTTTTAATTTTTGGAATAAATTCCTTTTGGTCTTAATGTATTATCCTTTTTATATAACACTAGATTCTATTTGCTAATATTTTATGTAGAACTTTTCATCTGTGTTCATAAGTGATATGTGGTTTTCTTTCCTTGAAATGTCTTTATCAGCTGGTCTACAATTAACTTAGCTTAGGTATCTTGGGTAACTCCTATCTGCTCAACTCATCTTCATCCTCCATCAGGATGAATATGATGGATATGTTTCAAGGTAATAGCAAAAGGAAAGAGCTAGAGTAGGATCTTGCAAGTGCTTTTGCAAGCCTCTCCTTTGTGGCATCCCAGTGGCCAAATCAACTCATATAATGGAACACAAAATTAGAGTGAAAGGATACTATGAGGTGAAATGTGAGGGCTTAGATTCAGGAAAAGTTGAAGAATTGAGACCATTGATGAAATTATTCTACCTTATTCTCAGGCAGGGAAGCATTTTTATACATGCAGATAGTTCACAAGAAATAACTGATATATAGTCATAGACTCAAGACTTCAGCAATTGTATAAAAATACATTTGTAAATACCTGAAGAGCTTGAAGAGAAGGGTCTGAACCACATCTCAGCCAGGTTATGCTATTCACAGCTAAGACATGACTCTGCCACTCCCTTGGCCAATTTTGAAAATTGTTTCAAACTATTTATTTGAGGTGGAATTACCTTTTGTCACTCCTAATGGGCACAGTCATGGAGTAATGTGACCAGGGTCCACTGGATCGGTCATGGCACTTGAGGGCAGCCATCCCAAAATTTCCAAATTCCATCTTTATGGGTAAAACATCTCTTGATTGCTAATATTGTTTTTAAAGCAGGTTAAGCTAATAACTGTGAGTTAATTATAGCATATCTATATTGAGCCAATTGTCTTTCAGTAGATTTGGTGGTGACTAATATAAATTTGGCAACACTTAATATTAGCTGGGGTGATTTTAAAAAGCCAAAACCTTTTAGAATGTAAAGCAAAACAAAGACATTCCTGTTTCCTTCTGGGGTGATCTCTAGGCTCTTGGTTTCTGTCAGTTATTAAACTGTTATCTCCTTGGGGCATTGACAAAGTTCTAATGAGTCATTGATTCCTTTACCATTTTTTTTTTTTTTGAGACGGAGTCTCGCTGTGTTGCCCAGGCTGGAGTGCAGTGGTGTGATCTCGGCTCACTTCCAGCTCCGCCTCCCAGGTTCACGCCATTCTCCTGCCTCAGCCTCCGGAGTAGCTGGGACTATAGGCGCCTGCCACCTCACCTGGCTAGTTTTTTGTATGTTTTAGTAGAGACAGGTTTCACCATGTTAGCGAGGATGGTCTCGATCTCCTGACCTCGTGATCCGCCCATCTTGGCCTCCCAAAGTGCTGGGATTACAGGCTTGAGCCACCGCACCCGGCCGCTTTACCATTTTTAATCAGAGTGTCCAAAAAGGAGGTAATCATGTGTTTTAATAAATTCCACAAATCATAAACCCCCTGAAAAGCAAATCTACCATCCATATTAATATTTAGTCTTTCATCTTTGCCAGAGTGCAGCCCCAAATCTAAGTTACTAGTTCAGCTGCCTGGGCAGGCTGGGAATCGGGCCATGGAGCCCTCAGTGGTTGCATGTTCACTGGTAACAGCGTGTCCTGCACTGCAAGTGTCTCTGTCATATTTGAGAACCATCTACAAAGTGCATTGAATCAAGGTTGACTAAAAGGGAGAAGATTCAAATCCAGGCATACTTAACACCTGAGAGGATGCTGAACAGTCATGTGATTCCCCTTTATTCTTAAAAGGGAATAAAGTTGCAGGGTTACATTTTGAATAACAGCGAATATGCAAAGCAGACATTACAGTTTCATAAGTGGTAAATTGACTAGTGGGGAAATGTCAGATGCTGCCTTGAAGTAGCAAAAACTGTAGAGATGCAGGACCCTAGAGTTAGTGGAGAGACAAGCGCTGTGGTGGAAGCATCAACACGTTTGGCCACTGCTACCACCTCATGCAAGTACAGAAGTATACCTTTGCCTCCAAATCAAGGAACGTACTGAGATAGGCAGAGAGAAGAGTTGGTAGATTTAGGAAAACCCGAAGGTGGAGGTTGTTGTAAGAAGGCTTTCAAATAGAAGACAGCATTTTCTACTTTTGCATCACAACGAAGAGTTTCAGAAATTATAAACTTAGTAAGCCCATGCAAAGGCTGAGCTATTGAGAAAAATCAGATATACAATTATCTACCTTCCTACAATTTTCTTAGCCATCTTTTAATTTCTGTTCCTGGTAGAATTGAATGCACTTAATTCTGGCTGAAAACAGAAACTGTCCATCTGGTGACAGATTGTGACCAGAAAAATGTAGATTCTTGGCAGAGTTGAAATTTTTTCTAGATTCTTTATGTCCTTTTTCACCTAATTTGGATAAGAGGTATTTAGAGTCTTCAGTAAACTACTTAGATCAGAAAGTGCAGCAGTAAATCATCTAAATATTGAGTCTATACATATATATATATATATATATATATATATGATTTAGACATTGAGACAACTAGGAAGTGGATTCGGAAAAATTCCTAAAGCTTAACCATCCAGGTATATTTGTTTTCCCATGAAAAAGCAAATATTGACTGTTTTTCTATCTGTGTATACTAAGGAAGGCTGCACATAAATTACCAGTGTGAGATACTTACTTGTTGAGAGAATGAAGGACAGGGACAGGTGTGGTGGCTCACACCTGTAATCCCAGCACTTTGGGAGGCCGAGGAGGGTGGATCACCTGAGGTCAGGAGTTCAAAACCAGCCTGGCTGACATGGTGAAACCCCGTCTCTACTAAAAATACAAAAAATTAGCCAGGCATAGTGGTGAGCGCCTGTAATCCCAGCTACTCAGGAGGCTGAGGCAGGAGAATTGCTTGAACCTCGGAGGCGGAGGTTGCAGTGAGCTGATATTGCACCATTGCACTCCAACCTGGGCAACAAGAGTGAAACTCCATCTCAAAATAAAATAAAATAAAATAAAGTAAAATAAAATGCAGGACAGGACAGTATTCTAATGGTTGCATGATATTTCATTAGCGCTGTGATTAACCTCTAATGTTGGACATTTAAGTGTCACTATAATCAATAATACAGCAACAGACATCTTTGCGCATAGGCTTTTTCTGTATAGAGTGCTAGGAGTGAAATTACCTAGCTAAGAGTATGAATATTTTTAGGGTTCTTAATATATCTTACCAAATCCAAGAGCAGTTGTATTCTTGTATCAACAATAAATCAAAGTTTTGAATTTCATGCCTTATTTTGCCAGCATTGGATTTTCTCATTAAAAGAGAAAGGGTTGGCCGGGCGCGGTGGCTCAAGCCTGTAATCCCAGCGCTTTGGGAGGCCGAGACGGGCGGATCACGAGGTCAGGAGATCGAGACCATCCTGGCTAACACAGTGAAACCCTGTCTCTACTAAAAATACTAGCTGGGCGAGGTGGCAGGCGCCTGTAGTCCCAGCTACTCGGGAGGCTGAGGCAGGAGAATGGTGTGAACCCGGGAGGCGGAGCTTGCAGTGACCTGAGATCCGGCCAATGCACTCTAGCCTGGGCAACAAGCAAGACTCCGTCTCAAAAAAAAAAAAAAAAAAGAGAATGGGTTAATTTCATGGGTGCAAATGGCATGTCATTGTTTTGACTTCTTTGTTGGTGACGCTGAATATTTATGTAGGTTGTTAATCAGTTGGATTTTTCTCTTTTATGAATTGTTTATGTCCTTGGCCCATTTATCTATAAGGTGAGTGAATAATATTTAAGTTGTTGTTAATGAATTATTAATTTATCATACTAGGCATAGTCCCCAGTCAGTCAATTTTTCTGAAAAATCGTTTCCCTGTTATTCATTATAGCATTTTTAAGCAGAAATTTCAGATTTTTATGAAGTCAAACCTAAGCCTGTTGATCTTCCACTGATTCAACACTTTCAGTTCTTCCTCATCCAAGGAACTGATTAAAATTTGCTTAAATTTCTCATGGATATTTGTAGCTTTTATATGTGATTTCTAAACCCGTATGGATTTTATGTAAGAAATTCCATGAATTCTGAAGTATATAAAACTGTTCATCCTTGCCTCCCCCAATGTGCAGATTCAGAGTGTTCATCTTTTTGACTTACTATTTCTTCCTAACAGAGATAGCCAGTTGAATAAATGGATGACTTTAGTACCTTAATTTTATTTTTCTCAATATTAAGCCAGTAAATGCTGCTCTGAGGGTAGCATACTAATCAGTTTTAAAATTTTGTGTCATTTTTGTTGTTGCACAGAGATATATACGTGTGTGTATGTTTCAGAAAGATATTTACTGAAAGTTGGATTCATATAGTGGTATTAACTGTATTTTAAATAATAACTACTATTTGTTTTTCATTTTAAAAGTTACACATATGTATACATTATATATACACACACTTATAGGTACACATATATCTTCATTTAAAAAATAGGAGAACAGATGAGCCAAAAAAGTCTCCATATTGTTACCAGTTATTTAAAATTTGATATGTTTATCTTTTTCTGTCACGCATATACACAATCATACTATATACTTTTTGCATGTATTTGTTTATATAGTGCTTAGGTAGACTGTAATATGCAGATCACTCTCTAAAGATGTATCTATTCCGAATTAAATAAGAACCAATATGAATTAGATTTAAACAAGAACCACATTAACTGTGAATTAATGATTTAGAACAAATTACTTAAAGTTAGTTCACCAGCTAATTTCCTTATCTGATAGCTTTAAACAGTGTGTATTTACAATAGAGACTCATCTGAGTGGCCAAAGACACTTTGTGGACTATTTGAAAAATCACAGTGGATTAGAATTTGAAATTTGCATACCCTCGTATTCCCTGAATCTCCCCTAGAAGATGCGAGTGAGAGACAAATTAATCAAAGTAATAACCATTGTAGGTTCCCCCTAGGAAATAGCTTATGTTGGTGCCATGTAAATATGTAAGCTATGTGTTTGTCTTTTTTAGGAAGTCGTGCGGTTTCTGGATAAGAAACATCCAAATCACTATCGAGTCTATAATCTATGCAGTATGTACATTACTCTATATTTGCTACTGTAGATAGAAAACAGATTACTGTATGTAAGAAGATGATTTTGTGTTTTTATTGCATTTAATCATAAGTATTTGGTGGTGGCAAGGAATGAATTTAAAAAGCCCCATCTTGGACTGGCCCCATTTAGTAGAAGGAGTTCGCCCAGCAGCACAAAGCACCCTGTGAAGGAGGCGGCTTTGGCAGGACCTGTGAGGCTGGAGTGGAAGCAAACCATTTTAGGGAAGATCTGTTCTAGCGACATTAGGTTTAGGAAAATCTTTCGTTTTTCCTGCCAGATTGTGTTATGAGGACATAGACGATTTAACAAATGAGTCCTCGGCCCCGTCCGCACTGGGCTGTGATGAGAGCAGGACCCTAGATGGGAGAAAAGGAAACACTCTGTGGAAAATAGGCTGTAACCCAGCTTCATACTCTGTCTCTCTTGACTTTTTCCTCTACCTGTATACTCAATAGACATTTTCAGGGGGCAATCATTTTGGTCAGCTACATTTGCCTCTTGTGTGGTTTCTAACCACCCTGCAATAATATAATGAATGGTCTGCTAGAAAGTTAAAAATTATACCTATTAAACAAAAATAGTTGAGTTTGGGTTACATGAGATGGATAAACCACTACCATCCTTACGTTTTTGAGACCCTGTGTTTATTTTAGAGTGGCAGGAGAAACTTGGAAAGCTCTTTTTGAAGCTAGATAAGGAATTCTAATAAGATATGTTAACTTATTTATAAGTTCATCATTTATATTCCCTATAGAGATATGACATACATATTATTTATTTTAGGTGAAAGAGCTTATGATCCTAAGTATTTCCATAATAGGGTCAGCAGAATCATGATTGATGATCATAATGTCCCCACTCTACAGTAAGTTTTATGCTAAGTTGACTATCAGAAGAGGGCTAAATATATTGGGTTTGATTTTTTGAAACTATTTTAACTAAAAATCTTAAACTTGAAATTAGTGAGATGGTGGTTTTCACCAAGGAAGTAAATGAGTGGATGGCTCAAGATCCTGCAAACATCGTAGCAATTCACTGTAAAGGAGGCAAAGGTAATAACATTTTCCTTTTTATTTCTCCCTTTCTAAAGACATGTAAATATAGATAAAGTACAAGAACAAGATACACATTGCTATTAATACGTATTAACAGTTGTTAGCATTTTTAAATATTAGCTCCAAGACTGACAGAAGGGGAGGAGAAAGGAAAGAGGAGAGGAGGAAGGGTAGGCGATAGGGAGAGGATAAGGAAGGGAAGAAAGCAGGAAAAAAGAACTAAGGAAGGTTGAGCATATTTTCCCTTGTTTTCCTAGTATTTGGATTTCTTTATTTTTGGTTTGCCAGTTTATATCTCTCAAAATACAAACAGTCTTTAATTTTAGAATGTCAGAGTACTTTTATTTTATTTAAGGCTGATCTTTTTAAATTTTTAAATTAACATAAAAATCTATTTATGGTGTACAATATGATGTTTTGATGTATATTAACATTGTGAAATGGTTAAATCAAGCTAATTGACGTACGCATTACTCCACATATTTTTGTGGAGTAATTTAAAATCTACTCTCTCAGCAGTTTTCAAGTATATATTAACTATGGTCACTATGTTGTACAGTGAATTTCCTGAACTTATTCTTCCTAATTGAAATTTTGCATCCTTTAATCAACATCTCAGGCTGGGCGCAGTGGCTCACACCTGTAATCCCAGCACTTTAGGAGGCTGAGGCAGGTGGATCACATGGTGAAGCCCTAGCTCTACTAAAAATACAAAACATTAGCTGGGTGTGGTGGCATGCATCTGTAATCCCAGCTACTCGGGAGGCTGAGGCAGAAGAATCACTTGAACCCAGAAGGCAGAGGTTGCAGTGAACCGAGATTACACCATTGCACTCCAGCCTGGACAACAAGAACAAAGCTCTATCTAAAAAATATAATAATAAAGTAAAAACCAATATCTCTATAATTCCCCCAGTTTTGTCCCCCCAGCCCCTGGTAAGCACCATTCTACTCTCTGCTTCTATGAATCTGACTTTTTTAGATTCCACAAATAAGTGAGACATGCAGTATTTGTCTTTGTATGCCTGGCTTATTTCACTTAGCATAGTGTTCTCCAGGTTCATCCGTATTATCTCAAGTGACAGGATATCCTCTCAGGCTGAAGAGTGTGCCTTTATTTGCACATACCACATGTCCTTTATCCATTCCTCCACTGATGACATTTACATCCATAGCTTGGGTATTAGGAATAATGCTGCAGTGAACGTGGGAGTGCAGATTTCATTTCCTTTGGGTATATACCCAGAAGTGGAATCTCCAAATCATATGGTAGTTCTATTCTTGGTTTTCTGAGGGGTCTCAGTGCTGTTTTCCAGAATAACTGCTAATTTACATTCACACCAACAGTGTACGAGGGGGATCCCTTTTCTCTACATCCTGACCAACTCTTTTGTCTTTGTGTTAATGACCATCCTAACAGGCGTGAGGATATCACTTTGTGTTTAATTTGCTTTTCCCTGATGATTAACGATGTTTGGCATTTCCTCATATACCTCTTGGCCACTTGTGTGTCTTCTTTTGGGAAATATCTTTTCAGGTTCTTTGCCCATTTTCTAGAGAAGTAACTTGTTCTCTTGCTATTGTGTTGTCTGAGTTCCTTTTTTAAAAAAATCTATTAACCTATTATCGAATGTATGCTTTGTAGATATTTTCTCCCATTCTGTAGGTTGTCTCTTTACTCCATCAATGTTTCCTTTGCTGTGCAAAAGCATTTTAGTTTGATACAGTATCATTTGTCTACTTTTTCTTTTGTTGCCTATGCTTTTCAGTCATATCCAAAAATATCTTGTCCCAGACCAATGTCAAGAAGATTTTCACCTATGTTTTCTTCTAGTAGTTTTTCAATTTCAGGTTTCACAATTAAGCATTTACTTTGAGTTGATTTTTGTATATAGGTGAGATAGGGTGTAATTTCATTCTTCCACCAGTGGATATTCAGTTTGCCCAGTATCGTTTATTGAAGAGACTGTCCTTTCCCCATCTTGGACTCTTGGCACCTTTGTTGAACATCAGCTGACTATAAATGCATGGATTTATTCTGGGCTTTCTGTTCTGTTCCATTGGTCTATATGTGTGTTTTTGTTCCAGTAATATTAAGGTTGTTCTTAAACTTTGTGAGAACCTTTAGATTAAGGGAGCCAACAGAGATGCTATTTCAAAAATTATACTGGAATTTTTATAGTCTAATGATACAAAGAAGTTGACGTTGGTGGGGTTAAAATGGGGGAAAAAGCCCCATTTTGTAAGTCCAACCAATTTAAGTTTAGCTAGATTTTCTCTCATTCAGGTTTAGGCTTTAAATAATCATCTAAGCATATTTCACAATTTTTGACAAACATAAATAATTACATTTTTAATGGGCTCTAAATCAATTTTTATATCAAATTCCAGGAAAACGTAACACTGTAAACTGACTTACATAATTCAGTAAAATCAAGTTTTAGTCTTATTGGCTAGTTTCAACACATTAGTTAATATACAGGTTCTGTGTTTAGCTCTATGGATTGGAATATTGTATATAAACTGGCAATTTGCAATACCATAGTTAAATCAAGAATATAGAGGCTGAATCATTTGAAATGGGCAGTTTTTAACCATCTTTGGCTTTAAAAATGGCCATTTCACATTGCCCAACCTAAAATGTTATTATTCAAGAAGTTAGCATCAGTTTTCTATTAACTAATGCTAATTCCTTGCTTGAAGGAAAGCATTCATTTCAAATTTGACTTTTTTCTTTTTTGCTGAGAGGGGGTTTACATTATTCTGTGTTCACAGAATATTTTGTTGATATTGTTAAAGGCTGTTTAGAGGGCTATTATTCAGCTGGTATGTACCAGAGCAGCCTCTTTTTTTAAGTGTTCATTCATATTAGTCTTGCTGTCTTCTGTGGTTGCTGCCTGCAGGTTACCAATAGTATCATGATAGTAAACATATTTTATATTGATTTATAGGAGTTCTTCAAAGAACCTGAATGCCAATTTTTCTTAGTATTACAATTACATTCTCCCAACATGTTGCCTTTTAAATTTGATTGTGATTTATTTTGTTGTACAAAAGTTTGTAAATTTTTGTTTTGTTTTGAGACATGGTCTCATTCTGCCACCCAGGCTGGAGTGCAGTGGCACGATCTCGGCTCATTGCAGCCTGAACCTCCTGGGGCTCAAGCGATCCTCCCATCTCAGCCCCTCTGAGTAGGTGGGACTACGGGCGAGCATCACCATGCCTGGCTAATTTTTGTATTTTGGTAGAGACAGGGTCTCACTATGTTGCCCAGACTGGTCTCGAACTCCTGGACTCAAGTGATCCACCCACCTCAGCTTCCCAAAGTGCTGGGATTACAGGCATGAGCCATCGTGCCTGGAGAGAAGTTTGTAATTTTGAATGTAGTAAAATTTGTTCATCTATGTGTGTGTATGTATTTCATGCTTTTCTGTCACATTTAAGAAATTCACCCCGATACTGATGTAGTAAAGATATTCCACATTTCTTCAAAAATATTCAAGTTCCATTTTTAATATTTGGGTCTTTAATCTAATTGGAAGTTGGGGGAAGTATTTTGTTCATATAGATAGCCAATTGCCCTAACACCATCAATTGCATGCTATTTTGTTCTCCATTAATTTGTAATTCCTCTCAGTAATATACCAAGTTTCTATACATATTCAAAACTGTTTCTAAGTTCTCTCTACGATACTTTTGTAATTATTGTAGCTTTATAATATAGTTTGATAAAGGCAGAATAGTCTTGCTCTCCTTGGAACTTAATTATTACGTTCAATTTTAAAATCATTTTGTGAACTGCCATAATAAAACACTTTTATGATTTTTGTTGGAACTACATTGAATTTATAGATTAACTTGACAGAACTGACAACTTTGAGATATTGAGTTGTACATGTGAATTATCTTGTTCATTGTTTAATAATATTTTATACTTTTTTTATCATGTCTTTCACATCTTTTCAAAAATTCATTCCTACACAAATTGTGACTGAAAATGGAATCTCTTTTTTTCTATTACATTTAGGTTGTGTCCAGTTTTTACTGTGATAAATAGTGCTGCTTTTTTTTTTTCTTTTTTTTTTTTGAGATAAAATCTCACTGTATCACCCAGACTGGAGTGCAGTGGCATGATTTCAGTTCATCGTAACCTCTGCCTCCTGAGTTCAAGCAATTCTCGTGCCTGAGCCTCCCAAGTAGCTGGGATTACAGGCATACACCATCACACCCAGCTGCATTTTTAGTAGAGATGGGGTTTTGCCATGTTGTCCAGGCTGGCCTCAAACTCCTGACCTCAAGTGATGCGCCTTCCTCTGCCTCCCAAAGTGCTGGGATTACAGGCATGAGCCACCGCGCCTAACCCAATAATACTGCTTTTAAAAATACACGTTTCTTGTTGCACATGTGGCCACATTTTTGTTGAGTATATACCTTGGACTAAAATTGTTCTGTCTTAGGGTAATGAATCTTGAACTTTACTTGATAATGTCACCTATTTTCTAAAACAGTAGTACCTATTTTTACTCCACTGGTATTGTACACTTCAAGCATTCCATGTCTTCCCCAATACTTACAATTCTGAGTATTTCTATTTTTAGCCTTTGGGGGTTTGTGTGATGGCATCTTACGGTGGTGATCATTTGCATTTCTGTAATTACTAATAAGATTGAGGAAGTTTTCTTAAGATTATTAAGTATTTGGATATCCTTTCTGTAAAGTAACTTTTTAATTTTCTTAACCATTTTTCTCCTGGTGTATTCATCTTTTTTCTCTTGATTGTAGGAATTATTTATGTATTCTGATTTCAGTTCTGTTATTGATCATAAATGTATTCAGGAAAGCTTTTCTGCTCTGTGATTTGCCTTTTCTCTCTCTCAGGAGTATCCTGTGGTTGACAGAAGTTCTTAGTTGTGTTACCGTCGTAGGTATCATGCTTTCCCTTTATAAAGTTTGTGCGTTTGTGTCCTGATTAAGACAATTTTCCTTGAGTTTAAAGG